TAGAGGGAGGGGAGGGAATGGACGTCGTCAAGTGGGTTCTTGGGTACTGCTGGTGTGTCTTCACCGCGTTGGCAATCTCGTGTCTGGGCCTCACAATGCCATACTCCAGATCGATCTCATGACCTTGTACACCTTCCCGTCCAAGTGCAGGATCCTAAAGCGAGAGCATGGCTCCAGAGCTCCCGGCGCGTTTGGGTAGATGTGGCCGTTGGTAGATTCGCATGCTGGCAGACGGGTATGTGTTCTTGTTTCTGGCTCATTTCTTGTCTCCTGACAGGTTTCAAGAGCGGCAGTACCCCAAGAATTTCACTAGAAAACAATACTCTTCGACTTCAAGTCGATGCAGCAAACTTGAAGCTCTCTCCAAACCACATCCGAGTTGCGAATCACTGCCGTTTGCATGCTTGTCGAACCGCTCGAGTCGAAGAACACATGTGTGCCGCCCCACTTCGTGTGCTAATACTCCCACTGACCTTTCTCAAGGCCGCCGATAGTGGACACGGTGTTCGGAGTCGGCCTGACCTTTGGCTCCGGCGCCTTGCCCATTAGATTCCAACTTCTGAGGCATAGAAACGGGCCAGAACTATGCGTGCTCGTTCTCTTCCCATTCACGACCGACGTTTTCGACTACAATTCAATCATCTCCCATTCATCGGATTCAACGACTACGTTAAGCTCCTGCGAACGACGCGACGAGCAAAAACCAACTCTTCTGCAACCTCTCTTCCTATCCCGCCCTCGCCATCCCGATATTTTGCACCCGCATTCCACATTTTCTGCCAGTGCACGCCATTCGAGACGACAAAATAAAACTCCTCCACCGTGCGTCGTATGGCTCTGTCGAGCGGGTCTCAAGCTGCCCTTATATCTCCCTACCATGCCGATTTAGTGTAACCTGGGCTAGATGGGCACAAAGACTCCGTTGAGCGCGGTTTCGCTCGGAATGGGACTTAGCATCAGCGTGGTCGTCAGGTCGGAAACACGGTGTGGGCCGGGAAGAAGAACATATTGTGGTGGGAGCGGTATTGGGTGATGCAAATGAGGGTATTTGCAGAGGCTTGTGTGGATATCTGAAGAGCAAGCAATACCTTCTCGGCGCATCCGCTACCCCGTCTTCATTAGTTCTCCCGTGCTGAGGCAGCTGGGGTTATACCAACTTGATATTCTGTCCCTTGAGACGGTTTTTTGCATCATATCCATTCTAATATATTCCTCTCCTGCCTGCTTTACTGCCCCAGACGATGTCGGAAAGCATGCTGCCAGGGGTGCGTGCGTTGACGCGAGTGCGAGAAGCAAGATCATGATTGCAGCGATATCGATGCGTGACACTTTCTCTTCTGGACCACGACTACCACTTTGCTGCGCGCAACCGAATCTCTACCCGCACGACCGGACTGCCACGCGTACCTCGAAGGAGACAAAGAGATGAACTGGTAGCCAGAGAATGCAGTCACGGTGAAAGGTGCGCGATTTGGCTTGACAATCCATGCTCGTGCTGACCACCTTTGCAGCTTCTGCTACGACTTGACGACGCGAAAACTGTGAATCCTACTCTCGCTGGCACCCGTGCTGTTCTACCCGATGGTGCGTGTGACGTGTTCGCTCGTCGCAAGCCCCGGCTCTGGCGGCTTATTACCTTTTTTCAGCTCAGCTCTGTTGCTACCCCCGCAAAACGGATAGGCCATCTGGCTCCCATCCAACGGAGGAGAGGACGGAGGAGAGGACCAGGCAGGAGCACGAGATGAATCAAGGCGAAGTTGGCGGTGCGGCGGCGTTGATTCACAGGCCATTCGCGTTGGGAGTAAACGCGTTTGAAGCTCAGCCGCGTCCTTCAATAAATCTTCACTTCTCCGGAGAATTGCCGCCGCCTACTGCTCGCCACCCTCAACCCTTTGAAGTCGACCTCCTTGCATTGCTGCATGGGCTTCGTGGCCATTTCGACGAGGAGCGCAGAACCTCCACGTTGGCTTCGGTGGACAGAGGAGACAGAGAGGCTGGGCCATCGCGCACGTAAGTACGGCAGAAACATCTTAGGTTGCGCCTTATTAATTCAGTCATAGACATTCTGCATCCTGTCGGCATCTCTTGCATGAACGAATAGGTCGTGCTTGCCCCATGCTTCTCACTCAATCCCCCTGTTCTTGGGCGAATTCCTCGTCCCGTCCTCGTCTTCACCATCGACAAACACCCATTCTTGAGCCTCTCCCTGCTTGCTAAGTCGTTCGTAGCGCCAAGTTGGTCAAATCGTCGTCGCAGTCATTATCGGCGTTATATCAATCTTAGAACTTGCGCCGAACTCGTGGAATTCAGAATGTGGGACTGGAAGGGTTTTGTCAAGCCCGATGACGAGGTACGTGTCCGATAGACTCCGTCTGCATACAGTATGCTCTAACGCGATTCAGGGCCCAGGCACCGATCCGGGCTCTTGCAACGACAATCGTTTTGCATTGACCTGCCAGTGCAGTAGGTGTCCTAGGCCTTTCCTCGTTCAAGACAAGAGACTGACTCGGATGGTGTGTGTTAGTTGGGAGCAGTGGAGCTCGTATCTCGGGAACGTCAGTGGGTTGGAAGACTCGGAGGAGGCGGCGTCTGGTTTGTGATTGTGGGACTGTGAAACGTCTAATCACTGACGAGCGGCGCATTCGATCCAAATCCATCGTTTTTGCAATCTATGCTGCTCATTTCGTAGAATCAGACGAGTTGACACGCCTCGAAACAAGTGATACGTGAGCTTGAGACTGAGAGGCCAGTGGGCCCCCCTTGAATGTTTGGGAGTGGTCTTCGGAATCGAGCTACTAGTATCATGGCCACCTGAGAAGGGACTAGTCACCCCCGGAAGCATACGAGTAAATGCTGAATGGCCAGCATTGGCACACTTGTCGTTGGGCGAAACAACTTAACAAGAGCCTGAGCGAGAGATGTGGAATCACGTTAGTATCCTTCCTTTCCTTCTTTTGCACGGTCAATCATCGGAGTTGCCCACTACCTCTTGGGCTCAACGCGCGGCCGCGACTCGGATCAAGCTGAAGAACCCCAAACCGCATCGACCAACAACTTTGGTTTGCGCTGCTTGCTCGTTGGACGTGGGAGGTTCCTCGTAGGATGCCCTCCCCGTATTCGTGAAGAAATCTGGTGTGTAACACCTTGTTCCTGCTCTAACTGCTAATCAATTTGCAAGGCTCGTGTCTCCAACTGTAAAGGCGTACACCTATATATAACATGCCCTGTCCTCAGGAACAACCGCCAGAATTGGAGAGCACTCGTTCCCCTCCCCCCTAAAAAGCTCTACCGCGCCTTCTATCCATCCATCCACATCTATAATCAGCCTCTTCCGACGGTCTTCAAAGCTGTACGGGCTCTGTTCTCACATCCTCGCCTGATTCCAACCCCGCGACAACCTCCACGTCGGAGTCGAGCCGTGAGCGAAAGTGGGCCCATCGAAGGGCTTCTGCTCGTCGAGCCCGGACGAGCTAAATATATGTCATCATAGGATGGTTGGCCAGCTCGAGGAGCGGTCGATAGAGCCGCAGATCGCGATGTGGGGGAGATTTATCGAAGTCTTTGGACGGCGATGAAATCACGTGATCACATGGAAGAGAGGCTGGGAACGGGGGAGTGGAGCGGCTAGTGAGGCTGAGTGCGTGGGTTACCTGGTCATGGAGGGGTTGGAGCAGGTCCGCAAGTGTTCTTGAAGGAGCTAATTCATTGTGTCGTTTCCGCCAACTTCACCCAGTTAGTGAATCCGAGATGGCCCAGATGGGGCGTCCGACAATGGAGGAGTGAAGAGCGGGAGGGAAGAGTTAGAAGTTAAGGGTGCGTAGTGCAGCTTCCCGAGGTTGCATGTGCATGTTGGCGCCAGGATAATGCACGAATCTTTGAAACCAATTAGACGCTGATGTACTAGTTCGTGTAGTAGACCGGACTACACACTTGCGCTCTATGTCTCCTTGCGTTTTGAGTGCTTGCAGGCAGCTAAATGCTTTTTCGTTAGGCAGCTTGAAGGCGGTTGGTTATTCGACGGATTAGCTACCAGAAACCAGTGCTGTCAGAAGTAGCGAGTAGGGCGGAGTGGAAATGTTTAACGGACCTCCGAGCCAGACTGATGTGGCACTCCGAGTTCGATATGCGAGCCGGTAAGAGAGAGGCGAAGTTGGGCGTGGATGAAGGAGCAGGAGGAGGCAGTAACAAGGAGTGGTTTCGTAGGCAGTGGTAGCGACGACGAGCATGGGTCTTTGTAGATGGCCAACCATGTTCGAAGGAGTTTTTACTGTTGGTATAGACGGGAAAGGACAGCCTGGAACGATGAGTTTGGGGCAAGGAAAAGAGGGTTGGAGGACGGACCTTCATCCCGCGAAATGGCCTCCGTCGTTTATCCCAGACAGCTCCAGCTCCCTTGTCCGTATTTGAGGTCCGTCAGCCACGATGCCGCGAGCTGCGGCATCTCTGTCGAGTCAGTGTCGACCCAAGCCCCCAAGAAACACCACCCCAATGCGCCGCTTGTCTCTCTGCGTGTTGCGAAGTTGGGAGGTAAACTGGTGCAGATTGCGGCGCTGCACGACCCGCACCAGCGAGGGATCGTGCCTCCATTGGGGAAAAGCGGGTGAGGAGCTTCAGGCGGCTGTAGACTTTGCCGGCAAGTGGCGGGTGCTGAGATGTCGAGGAGGAGGAGTGATGCGGTATATACGCGGAAGGATTCAGCCCTACCCCATTGGCGGAGAGCAAGCGTCTGAGGATAGGATCGTCCTGGGGCAGACGTGGTCGAGCGAAAGAAGAGAGTCGCGGTCACGTCATGCCCACGTGGTGCTGACTCACCCGACCTTACCTTGGCTCAAACCACCATCTGGCAAGTCCCGCGCAATTGGAGGAGGTGGACAGCCAAACACATTGCGTATTTCTCGTCCTTGTTGGTCTTATACTTACGCTATCAATACTTATCCTGACTTGATCCTGCCAGCGGCTCAAGTTCTCACGTCTTGCCTCTTGTTGCCACCTCACTCGACATGCCCTCCTCCTCTACTCTACCGCACGATAACCACTTTCATTCCCAGCTTAATCCGTCACAAAATGTGCCTGCCTCCACCCCGATTCTCCGCCTGCCAACAGAACTGCTTATCTCGATTCTCGAGCGCTGTGTCGATGACAAGCCGGAAGACCGTGACGACGATGAACCGCTTCCCGTTCTGGTCAAGGATCAGTGGCTGGCTCTTTCCACTGTCTGCTCCCACTGGCACAGTGTTGTTATGGGGACACCGACGATTTGGACAGACATCCATGTCTGGTCGATACCCACACGACAAGATGCTCTTTCCGTCGAGCTGGTCCAGCGCGCTCTGCTGCGAGCCGGGAATGCCCCGCTCCGCCTCAAGCTTGACGTAGCACAGACCTATGACGCACAAACAGGCCAGCCTATCCAACGACAACTCTTCACCGTCTTGCGCGCGACTTCAGAGCGCTGGCGATCACTCTCATTGCGTGTTGCACCACTTCAGCTACTGAACCTTGCGCCTATTCGCGGGAAACTGCCTCTTCTCGAGCGGCTGGAGCTGTCCAGCAGTAACGCTGCCCACGACAGACAATTCCTCGCAGACTGCAATCTCTTCGAATTCGCCCCCGCCTTGCGGAGTCTCACATTCGAAGACTTCCCTCCTCGCGTTGCGTGGCACCAGCTCACAGAAGCGCGCCTGACCTTCCCCTTTGGATTCTACAGCCATTTCCATAAGGCGGTTTATCGTGCGCTTGTGTTTGTCGAGCGCTGCTCCGCTTCATGCAGCGTGACGGTCTGGGGTGTCAGCCCTCCTTACCACCAGGACCACTGGCAGCAGCAACTCGCCGACTGGCCTACCGACCCGCTATTCACATCACCAATCAGGTCGTTTACTCTTGCGCCGTTCTCCCGCGACGACGAGCAGGTCCAGTTGGCCGGGCGACTCCTCCGCCTGCTCGACCTCCCTAATCTCACTGAGTTGAAGCTCCAGTCGGCATGGCGCGCGGCCAGCTTCTGGGACCCAGCTGCCTTTGCCATGTTCGCTCGTCGCTCGCCGAACATCACCGTTCTGCATCTGCGGCGGACCTATATATCCCCGCCGGCGCTTCTCCAGGCGCTCCGCCAGGTGCCGCTGTTGGAGGATCTTGCTGTTGGGGATATGCACCGTAAGGAGGCGTACCATTTTGCGATAACCGACGAGGTCTTGCGCGAGCTGCTCGAGCCTGGTTTGGTGCGGAACCTTTGCCGCCTGGAGGTCACGTCGTTTCTCCATTTCGACCATGGCCTGCTGCTCCAAGTTCTCAGGGACCGTGCGCAGCGGACAGAGACTTTTGTCGTCCATGCTGTGGTGCTGGCGATGACGAAGGAGGAAGCGGAGTATGGTTTGCTGGCCAATGAAGGGAGACGCCGGCTTGCGGAGACGCTCGCGCTGGGCTATCGGGATGGGTTGCGGTACACGATTGTCGTTGATGTATTGTAGGGTGCAACTGGGTGTTGGCTCTCAATTTCTTGTAACTACTGGTGGATGATTTTACTACTAGTAGTACACAGGAGTGATATGAAACAACAGAACAACCTCTGGACTCAGCTTCCTTACTTCCCATACACCAAGTTTAGAGGCCTTTTTAGACTTGAAGTCTAAAAAGGCCTCTAGACCGCGACCATCCTCATCGTCCAGCACAATGGGGCTGTATTCGCTGGCCGAACCGTTTCGGAAGCGGTAAAGTCCGAATGCTCATGACTTCTGGCGCTAAATAATGTCTATGTACCTGGAAAGTCGGTCAGCAAAAGGTAAGAGCGGCAGCCGAGCGACTGACTTGATTTCCGTCTGGCCGGAAAAACCAAGGATGTCGCAGCGTGTGCACGGGGGAGTCTATCAGACGGTCATAAAGATGAGAGTCTTTAAGCATTGAAGAAGGAAAAAACTCGCCACGACACCATTTGCCGAAAGGGAGCAAGAATTCAATCACTTGGAGCCATCGACTGAGATTGAGAATTGCGATGAGCGATAGCGGGATGTACAGGGTCTTGGAATTGGAACCGAGACATTAGTATTAGTAGACGCATCGTGGCCTAACCTTATATTGTCGTTGGGGTGAATTATGCTCTGCCGAGCCTCAGATGCCACAGAATTTTGGGCGATCATCAGACTTGTCATGGTCAGACTTGGAACACCGAGTTCGGTGGGAGGTGATGGGCTTCTGGGTCCGGTAGTAAGAGTGGCTTGATAATCCTGTTGTAAGACGGCCTCTAAGCCCTCATGGAGCGTCACGGTCTTGTCCAGCTTCGAATCTGTCGTTCATCAACATTGGATAGAAGAGCAGCACAAAGTGTACTAGGACGCACACAGTGGAGAGTTTGCCTCGCTTTTCACGTACAACGTCTGCGACTCGAGTCTTAATGCGTCGCCTCTGAATCGCTCCCACATCTCGCTGGTCATCGCAGTAGGATCAGCGGGCGCGTTGTCAGAGACATCAACGCCACCGGTGCAGAGAAAGCGAACTCGGAGAGACACGGGTTGTCCATGAATGAAGATAGGTATGCTCAAACGGAACGAGCTGACTACTACTAAATAGTTATTAATGTATTTGAAAAGAGCAAGCAACACAATGCACCTATCGACGTCTGGGTGAAAGTTTCCACGCATCGGCATTCGACCACCAAGGAGTATATGGCCATGTATGCCACAAGTGCCAAAGGCTAAGAAATCAAAGGGCGCTTTGCGACGCAAGTTTTGAAAAGCTAAGCTGAATTCAAGTTGTCCATGGCGCGCCCTTGACTGTTTGTCGTGTGGCAGGCAATACCCAGCTCAATAAGTTGTCATCAGGGTAGAGCGCTCGAGCTTTAGTGAGAGTGGAAAGGCCCTGTTACTATTAGTGGGCATGAAGCAAAGACGATTGATTTGTGATCAAGAGTGTGACCGCGAAAATCATCACTCTCATTCCGCCCACCACGACGAGTCCGGTTGTCCGTCGTCTTTCTACTCCAATTCACCCGCCTTGCCGCCACTCGTATCCATGCTCGCGCAGACTTGCTGTTGGACCACTCGACGGAGAGCCACGTTGTGTCTTTGAAGCCGCAGAGCCGCATGACAGACTCTTTTCGTGGAGGTGGGCTGGTTATGGGGCGATCTGCAGGCGGACTTCGTGCAGGCGCCGGTGTGGGACGAATGCTTAGAATGGGCAGAACCAAGACCGGCTTGGTAAAGGTGCGTGTCGGTCTCTTTTTGCGTCTTTATTGCTAAGTGTCGGAAAGCCAGCTGTTGGGCTCAGTTCCACCAGCTACCCGGTCAAATACAGCCAGCGTGTCGACGAAGATGTAGGAGGGGTGCTAGACCGCCTGCCATGCTTGACTCCAGTCGACGCGAACGAAGGAAATACGGTCAAGGTACCGGGTCTTCGGTACGTTTTTCGCTTCATCTACTCTCCCCACGTTCGACTAGATCGTTGCAGTCTATCGCGAAGAAAAGATGATGATGGAGACGGGACTAGATGCGGGGCTTGCTCGAGTGGTGAGTCTTTTTCCTTTTCCGCACGTTGGTGTCTCATGTCGGTTGGAAGTTTGGAGCTTCCGCCAATGCGCCAGGCCAACACGCAAGATGACCCGCGTAATTATCTTCAGGCTTCATCTCCTTCGTGGACTTCGCTATCTCCACACCAGCCTGAGGGCTTTTCGGCGACAATCTTTCCCCATGTCAGTCAGCGGCAACATGAACTGGACGCTCCCTTCCAGTTTCGCTGCATCTGCACAGTCGCATCAAAAGGACCACCACACTGCCTCTCGCGCTGCCCTTTGGACTCCACATAGCCTTCGTCAACGCCACTTGCACTAGTCGCTTTCTACCTCATTTCATCGGCATGTCTCGTCGCCATACATCCTGCCCGCCAAGTGCTCATCCAACAGCTTCCAAATACTGTGCCAACAGTCCTTGACCTCCACTCGCAGCGTGCTGCTCCCGCGCCTTCGATCCAGACGCCCGTCTCAGAATAGGAAGTCACGTGCTTCTTGCCTACCAAAACGACCTTGTATCGCGGCGGAAACGGGGAATATAGCTCTATCGACTGCATCTCATTATCCCCCGTCTCAATTCCGAGCTCTCCAATTCTTTTGGCCCCGGTATTCGACGCGCAAGGCAGTTGTTGCACGCGTTTGTGGTGAAGACTACCGGGACGGCATGGGCGATGGTTGTGAGATGGAGAGCGAGAAATGGGCTGGCGTTGGTGGCCTTCCCGAGTGTGCAGATGACGGGGAGCGTGTGGAGCCGCTCCGAAGACGGTCTGCTGGGTCGTTGGTGGTCTGGAGGCGTAATCTGTCACCCCAAGGATGCCCTACGGTGGATGCAAAGGGCCGCCTGGGCTGTCTGTCAAGTTTCCCGAACCCTGCGCTTTATCTACCATCGCATTATATCCTCTTTCCTTGGATATCTACCGAGCCATTTCTCTTGCCGATGCCGTTCTTACTGTGTTTCCCCGTTCTTTCTTCGAATTTCTTCGTGACTTTGATTCATTTTGTTTACGACAATATTATAATCTCACATCTTGCTCTCTTCCAGAGAGCATGCACAACTGCACAACTAAGACACTATCTGTCCCCACCATCTGCAAATTTCGATCTCGCGACTGGCCACACAACAAGTCTTCGTACTCGCGAAAGTATGTCCGAGTCCAGGGAAGGGGTTCGACGGATCCACCGGGGAACACATTGTATATGAGTGCTGTATAGCGTGCAGTGGAGGTCGGCACGGGACGGGAACTGAAAGAGTATTATCGTCGTCTCGAATAGAGTGACGATGTAACCCGTGGCGACACGTGCAAAACAAGGGACAGCGATAGTAGCGATAGTGGAAGTGTGCCGTTGAGGGCGTGGCAAGTTGGCGAGTGTCGGGAATGAGAGAGAGAGGAAGGTGTGTTGGCCGTGTCGGATCTGGTGAAGTATTCTGTGCAGCGACTCCACATCTGCGAACGCATCGCGCGCTACTTTTGAGCGAAGCTCCTTCATTACGACTTGAAATGCATCGAGACGACACAAATGAGCAAGTGGTTGCTGCATTGGAAGCCGAATACAAGCCATGTACAGCTGAGAAAAAGACTACAATATTGTAGCAGTGGGGACAGAAGCCAAAGCATCTCGAATCGAGTCAGTACGACCGGGAAGGTTGTGGAAGGACTCACCCTCGATTCTGTTCCACCTCTTTTGTTCCGCCTCTCAGCGCTCTTCCCCATTCTCAGAGTTCTGCCTGTCGCGGAAGACAAGAAGGTCCTGCAGCATCACACGCCCGAAAAGCTAGAGCCCAATGTCTAGTAACTGAGCCAGGCGGAAGATAACGGCGTACCCCAACACAATCGGAAAAGCCGCTCAGACTCTGGTTCCCGAGCTCTGCAGCGCCTCGTAGGTATGGCCCCTCCACCATAGTCTTTAAGCACCAGTGTAGCGGGAGACGACTTCGACGAGTCGGTATGTTGGTTTTCAGTTGAATGTGGCGAGGGAGGGTGGCAAATCGGAGGAGAGAAGACGGGTGGAGGGCGAGGAGAGGAGCTGCAAACACAGTTAGTAGAACCAAGGCAAATGGCGAGCATAATGCGGCACCTTCTTGGTTTCCTTCATCACCTGTTCCGCGCACTCGAATTCAGCGGACGATACGCTCATATTCTAGCCCTGCGCCCGGTTACCGGTGGTGAAAAAAACGATGTGATTCGTCTTGTCAATGATGGGCGGTCAAGGCATTGACAAGACGAATCGTTGTATTATCGGAGAATGAGTGAGGGTGTGCCATATTAGAGACTATTATCTAAAAAGCCCAGTGAGAACAGGCCAGAAAACAAGTGCAAAAGGCGCACCCCGACCGACACCAGCTCCGCTTTTGCTCCAAAGCCTTCGCTTCACCCGCTCTGTTGAGTTGTCATTCCATCGTCGACTAGCTCCAGCATTCGTTTGCCGCGGTACAATGGTGAATATGGAGGCTGTAGCTGCCGGGGTGGTTGCTTGGAAGTGGTGTGAATGATAGAAAGAGGCAAGAGTAGCAACGCGTGACAATCCTCAGGCTCTGACGTTGACGCAAACTGCGACAGCGACAATACTGACCACAGATTCACCATCTCTCCAAGGACTAGAGTACTGTATACTTGCACTTGCAAGCTACATAAAGCCTCATCTGTCCCAGATCTGCAAATCGAATGCTCGACACATGCTATCAGGACACTGCCGAAGCGACTGCGTTTTTGCGTCGACTGTGCGGACTGAGACCCGACTTTCTTGATTGTCCTACCAAATCTAAGCTCCGAGAAGAGGCAGCACAACTCAAATCACATATTGACGAGCTGAAGACAAAGCTGCAAACCCTTGAAGACCGTCTCGCCGAGGTCCAGCACGACTTATCCAGCCTCGTTTACCCAGTCAACACTCTCCCTGCCGAGGCTCTATGCCACATCTTTGCGGCAGCTACCTTGTCTGGGGGGCCTCCTCATGTCGAAACTACCCGCATGCTCTTAGGGATTACCGCCGTGTGTCGGTATTGGCGGAGCGTCGCGATTGCAGACCCGCACTTGTGGGCGGAAACATGCTACTTGGTCCGTGCTAGTGACACCAAGCACGACTTACTATTTGAGCACTTCCTGCCACGGACACACGGCCTACCTATCAATGCCACCCTGATCATGGACCGCGACTTGGCTCCCAGTTTCATATTTGATTCTGCTGAGCGGTGGGCGGAAGCCTCGCTAAGGAGCGCGTGTTGGCCAGGTGCTCTAATAGAGGGAAGAATCGATTGCCCGCACCTGACAAAACTTACGTTCGACGTACGGTTCACAGAGTTGGGGATTGAGTCCAACGACTTGTTGATGAACCTTCCCCGTCTGCGCGAGCTGTCTATCGGTACTTTCACCGGCTTACTCTCCCGCCTGTCGTTTCCTACTCATCGATTGAAGAAATTGACCCTTCTTCGACGCATACATTATCCGGAGGTTCTCCTCCTACTCGCACAACTGGTGGGCTTGGAAGCGCTCTCGATACGCGTACCATTCGACAAGGACTTTATGGACGACGAGAGCTCGACGCCGCCCATACGATTGCCCCGCTTGTCGACATTGGTGCTGGGCCTGGGCGAGGACGTCATCTTGCAATTTCTTGACTTGCCTGCACTGACAACACTCCATTTCTCACCCACAAATGAGGATGATGCACAGTTCCTGGGCCCCTGCGTTTTTCGATCGTCTGCGCCCGTAACATCTCTGACCTTTGCGCCATTGAGCTACGGCGCTTACCGCACCACTTTGTCTCCTACTACGCTCAACTCAGTCAAACACTTGACTCTAACCCTCTTCTTCATGCACCCGCATGAAGAAGAGCAATGTTCGGCGGACCTCGCGCGCCTCGATTACCTCCCCAACCTCGAGTCGATCTCCTTCATTGAAAGGAGACTCACCAGAATTCGGCCGTTCCTGGAGGGAATTGCTAGGAGAGCTGCGAATGCGCTGCTCAGCGGTGTCGCACACAAGATGAAGCTTACTCGTCTTGTTCTCAACTCCCTGCGCGTGCGGGGCCCCGGGATGATTCCGGCCAAGGACATGCGCGACTTTGCCTACCTGCAAAGAAGCTTGCAGTCGATGCTCGCGAAGCAGGACGAGCTATAATAAATCCAAATTGTCTTAGTACTGTTCGATTCAATAGAGTTGTTGCTTTCAATAAAAAGTCTGTCGAATCTCGATATGTAGATCCAAAAAGTCCGTGAACTTCTACCTCAGTTTGTTATCAGCGGGGGCTTAAGAAGAGGGTGGCAGAGCTCAAAGTCATACACGTTAGCGTTGAACGGTGTCCTTCGGCGCGACGACAGACGAGCAATGTGTGTGACATCACACGATCCTCGTTCTTCTGCACTGTCATGTCGTTGGCCAGGCTTGCTCGTACCGACACCGCTTCTGCTCGACACACGGCCGCGAATGGCGATGGAGCATAAGAACAGTATGCTGATGCGGGAGAGGATGTTTCGTGGAGAGAAGGGGTGGATTCGAAGGAGGGCGGTCAAATGGGTCTTTACAGGCACTGGTGCGTTGTCCTCATTTGCTTCAGCGTTCGCTATCCTTATCATTCGCTCAGTGCTAGTCGTACTCTCATCACTCGCTGAATCGGGCAGGGCAGCCCGAGAACTGCGTCTCTTCAAGATCTCCCCAGCGCGTTGCCCTCGCCGGCAAACCGCAATAACTACCTTCTGCCTCACCATACATATCATCCACGCGCCAATCGATCCTATCGCGAGCCTCTCGTCTCAGCACAGTATGCCACATGTCTTCATCCCCAACATCTTTGTCGACAACACCTTCCCATTTGTCGCAACCCGACCGTGGCTTTCACGTAGTGCTCTTTCCTGGACCGCTCTAGTTTCCGCCACGACGTGCTCGATACTGACTCGGAGGAGCTGCTCGCGGTAGCAGATGAAGGCACCGACAAGGGTATTGGGCAAGGCTGTGCTGGTGACTTTCGCGAAGCGACAGGCTGTTGGGAAGAATTCCCAGTCGAAATCTTCGGAGTATGTACTATGGTACGTATTGTCTTGAGCCTATCTTCTGCTACTTGACAACGAATGCACAGGCCTATCGTTACAAGCATCTTTGTTAACTCTGATAAATCATGCCTCGCTTTCCCTCACTCACGAGCGGTCATCTGAATTGGAGAAAGCTGCTTGTTGGTTCTAACCAACCGTCCCCGATTTACTTCAAAATCGGACACGAACGAGCTTGAGGAGGTCTTTTCGCGCCACTTTTGTTTCGTGCTGTCACCCCCTCGGCATGCGACTTTGTGTCTCCGCGTACTAGTCCGGGCTCGACAAACCGCTTGAGG